TGCGGTAGAGATTCGTCAATGCAACATAGATGATGTTCAACCATTCAACATTATTATTGTTCTTTCTTGTTTGAATAAGAGGGGAGGAAGCAGGATTCGGAATGACTTTTTAATCTCTCTCTCCCCTCATGTTTAAACATTTCTTTTTGCAATTGGACGCGATTGAACTTTCTGCCGAGTGAACACTCCGAAATTGGTCAGGACCGCAACACAGAACAGACAGACAGACAGAGGGTGGGAAAGAGAGAAGCCCGTGCACACGTGGAAGAGGGAGAAGAGGGGTTGATGCTAACAAACCCGGCATACAAAATTACAGGTTACTGGATGAAAAAATGTAGAGCCAGAGAAAGGAAACAGCAAACACACTTAGTGTACACTCACATACGGATACTGTGATGGTTTGCGCACATGTCCACAACAACAGAACAGACAGACAATGGGACCTCCACCAAGCCCGTGGCAAGAAAAGCAACGACAACAACCCGTAATTCAACGAGTGGCGTACTTCTACCCAACTTCCGTAGACGTACAACGCACCACGCACCTACAGACCTACACAACCGTCCAAACGGCAAACATCTACGAGCGCATTTTGGTAAAGATCCGAAGTACATGCATTCACATGGAAACCTACAATAAGTGGACCGAAGGCTAGGACACAAATTAGATAGACCTCTGGGTGCCAACGAGTTTTCAGAAGGGCGGAAACGGACAACAAGTACAAGGCCGAAAGACCCGAGACTACGAAAGTAGAGACAACTGGCAACAGGTTCCGCCGTTGGATCCCACCGAAAGGCCGATCATTCGAAAAGAAAGAAAGAAAGAAAGACTTGAAGAATGGAAGAAGAAGAAAATGAAAATGAAAAAAAAAAGAAAAAAAGAAACAAAGWAAGAAAGAAAGAAAGGAGAACAAGAAAAAAACAAAAATATATGGGGTTCACTACTGCGGGCCAAAATCAGCGACAGAGTCGTCCTTCAATACCTTCATGTCCCCCACTAGTGAACCTGATCTCTCTCTCTCTCTCTCTCTCTCTCTCTCTCTCTCTCTCTCTCTCTCTCTCTCTCTCTCTCTCCCCCTCTATTCAACCCACCTAACACCACGAAGACTTCTACGGAGTCCACGATTCGACAGGACAACCGTTATGCAGTACACACAGTAGAATTATCAAGCTGCTTTTTTCTTGCGGACCCCCCCTTACGTGGCACTGCTTTCCTCTTCTTCGCCCCTGCTCTGCTGCCATCCCTTTCCGCCTGTCTGGCGTCCATCCGTTCCTGTCTCTCCTCAGCTCTCGCCTTCTCGTCCAACATACCTTGATATTTCTCAACCCAGCGAGGCTTCGACAACCTATCCACCAGTCTTATGTCCCTGACCTGGATCGTCACCCTCTTTGAATGGATGGCCACCTCGTTGGTGTTCTCGAAATTGGCGACCAGGTACACCTCGGCAGCCTCCATCAAAGCACGCACCACCGTCATCTGACACCTCACGCCCATACCCGGAGCAATGTCCCGCTCCACAACCTCGCGCACGAGATGCAAGAACGGCCTGAAAGCCAAGCAAAGGTCGGTAGATCGTTGCAACTTTCTGATTTCCGACAAAGTTGTCATCCCGGGGCGTCGACGGTGTCTGGGGACCTGAGTTCGTGCACCTGCGGTGTCTCCGGTCCCTGGCACCGCCTTCGGGTTCACCTTCTTTCTGCCTGCGGGCGTCTGCCCACGTGGCCGTCCCGGCATGCACTTCTTCTTCTTCCCCGGGCTCTGCGACATCACGACATCACTCGGCCCGCCCATGTCACCCTATGCTGCAGAGCACCCCTCGACGCGACCAGGACCACATGGGCCCTCCACCTCAGCGGACAAACGGGAAATTTTTGAGCGCTTCTCTGTCCTCTTGTCTGCCTACGCTGAACCTGGCAAGCCATCCTCCGGCATATACCGAATGTCTCGCAGGAGTCCATCTGAGTAGGTCAGATGGAAAGGCACACCAAGCGGGTCTCTGAATCTCATGGTGATGTCTCCACCATGCTCATATGTCATGGGACATACGACCGGGACCCAACCAAGAACGGTCGTGCAACTGTGCCTGCAGCGAATGCGAGCCATGTATCTGTTCTCACCGTCGCCATGCTCTTGGGCCGTACAACTCCCCTCAACCATGGACCACATCCCCTGGTAAGCCATGGAGTCATACCCCGTGCACACCATCTAACGCTCCTCCTCCCTTATCTTCTCCCAGCACCGCTTTGCATGTTCAACCACCAGGACGTCGTCCTTTACATTCACATTGAAAATTGAGACATGTGTCAGAACCACGAGGAACTGCCAATGCTCCACAATGCCTGCATGCATCCATCCCAATAGGAGCCAATGCCCTGATTGCAAACTTGCTGCCATCGTCACCTTGCCATCAACCACTGCAGGATGCAAACATCCTGGGACCCAATTCACACGATAGCCATACTTCCAGGGGCCATATGCTGCTGCAACTGTCCTTCAGGGATGACACGGACCCCAATGTCCATGGCAGACAGAACGTCACTCCTCATTGTGACATGGTCCCATATCTACGAGCATACTCCATTGTACGTGGCTTCCTGCCCTCTTGCATGCGTGTATGTGCTGCCATCCTCACAAGTGAAAACTTTCCCTTCAACCACCTCCGAGTCCACAGGGTTCCGAAGCGGCGGGAAAAAGCAGCCAGCAATGTGGGTATTACATGCCATTGCCTTCTTCTCGTCTTCTGAGACCTCCCTGTCGAGGTGGCTGAAGGAGAAGTTGTCATTCACATAATGCGTGCTCCAGACATTTTCCATGGCATCACGCATCATCATCCTCACACCGCCACATGGAATCGGGATCACACATGGCACCCAACCCCACCTAGGATCTCTCCTCGCATCGCCCTCGTCGCACGTCGTACTCCCTGTTGCGTCGTTCCCGCCAATCACCCATGCCTTTCCGCAATCAAAACCATCGTACAAAAAATCGTTCAGCCTGAACTCGCCCTGCGCCTCCAGAAGACGCCACACGTCCATTGCATATCGTGCTTTCACCTCTGTTGTTGCCCCGTCGTTCAACCTTAATAGTCTGTCAAACACGATTGCCAGAGTCACGTTTCGCCATGTATTCTTTTTGGGGGCAGGAAATGGAACCCATGTCCCTTCGACTTTGAACGCAAAGCAGGATGCTCCTCCAACAATACCCGGTTGAACACGACCCGGCACCCAATTGATGTCATATGGGTACTCTTCTCCTATTGATGTCTTCACCACATTTTCATCTTTCACAATACACCCTGTCAGAGATTCCCTGCTTCCCAGACCTCCCTCCTCTCTCTCTTCCCCAGCCATTTCCGTCTCACAAGTGCTCCCTCCTGCATCATTCTCTGTTTCATCACCATCACCCATCATCTCTGCAGTCTGTGCATATATTGTCGCAAGCACCTCTGCACAGTCTGCGATGTTCCCTCCTGCTGAATTCCCTTCCTTGCTGCCATCTGCAAAACCCTTCAGAATGTCCTCCGTCTCCATGGCGCATGTCTCACCACCGTTGACAGTCGATGCAATCGAGGGTTCCATCTATTGCATGAAACACCACATACATTTATGAGAACACGTAGCTACGACATTCCCCCCTCACGAGAGAGAGAGAGAGAGAGAGAGAGAGAGAGAGAGAGAGAGAGAGAGAGAGAGAGAGAGAGAGAGAGGTTCACTAGTGCGGGCCAGAAGGACAAC